TTCTAGATTTCAATTGTTCAGGATTTTAAGAGTAGTTGGAAGCAGATACTTGTCCAAAAATAAAGGCAAGTCATCAGATAAATTTAACAGTTGTCTCTGAATCAATTATTCCTATAAATCCCGTCTATTTGTATATCTTCAACCACAACTTAATGCAAAGCTAGAAACAGAATTTAATCCATTTTTAAAACTGATAATAGAAAGCCATAATCCAAAGTGAGAACAACAGCACACCTCCATTTAAAAATGTCCACAAAAAAAGCACACGAAACGATGATAAAAACTTTGAAGAAGGTAGCAAGCAAACACGAACCCAAATGAACAACTTAATAAAAAATTCATTTGCGTCTCGTTTTTCTTCGTTGGCAATTAATTAAAGAAAATTCATTAAAAATTCGATTATAATCTCACTCTTGCTTACACAAAAAAAAAACAGCTATGGAATAACCGCAATCACGATTAAATTACAATGAAGCTTTATGTTAACTTATGATTACATATAATGTTACATCTGACTACAGTTTGATGTCACAATCATTAGTTATTCTCAAATCGTTTCTGCAATTGAAATCGATTCGATGAATGAATCACAAGAAAAAAAAAAACTGCAATGTCTTGTGCTTGTGTGCATATTGAGCTGTATTGAGTATCTCTTTTTTTTTTTGCGAAAAAAAAAATCACCATGTGTTGCACCATCAATTGAATGCATTTCTTTCTTTTTATCTACAGAGTTAATTTCAAAATTCCATATTGTTAAATGCAGTGACATTATTAGCGTAGCTTTAAAAACGATTTAAAAAATATTTTTAAAAACTTTTTTTTCTAGATGGTGAAAAGTCGATAATGTGCATAATGTCTGTCTGTGGTGTGATGAAGTTGTTTGAGGAGGAAATCAGATGGAAATTGAGATTGTCATTGAGTATCCGATGACGATGTCATAAAGGAGACAATGAGGCATTCAGAATGCGGTTTGGGAGATTGTTATAAAGTATTTAAGAAGTGAGGTTGGTTTGTTGTTGAGAGGATATCAAAGACTGACCAAGTAGTTGGATTAGCTGATAATTAGAAAGGTAGCAGAAACATAAGAGAATAAAGGCAAAAGCAAGTACTTTTTGTGTCTTGACAATCCCCTCCCCCTTCTCTCCTTTTTTAGACAATGCCACAAGTAGGGGCGTAACCAAGATATTTGGGCTCAACCCCCTTTTTGGAAAAATGTCTTCAACTTGCTAGGATTTTTGAAGAAAAACTTTGCAACCAGCCCCCTCCCCCCCTCTTAGAATATTTCTGAATACGAAGCCAGGAATTTGAAGGAGGAGGGGGGTGGGGGGCAAAAAAATTTACGCGGGGATTTTTGAGATTTCGAATAGAAAAATTTCTAATGTCGAAGTGGGTTTGGTCCCCTCTGGCCATAATTGTTAAACTCTCATTGATTCTTAACTCACAAAATGCGCCTTCAAAATCCATACCCACAAACTTTCACTACCATTTTTCTCGTTCCTTCAACATCGCTTGCTTATTGACAAAAAAATGCAGCGACTATTAAGACTTTAAGAATAAATTGCAGTTTATTATTGAGAAATACAAAGAATTAATTATTTTATTGAGTCTTATTCATGCCATCTTTAATATTATTTACTGCTTATCATTAATATTTAAATTGATTGATTGACGGATATAAATTGATTAAAAAAGTCATTTCCGAAAATGAAATAAAAATGTTTTGCTTTTGCGAATTTATATAAAAAAATCTTTTTAAATAATTGATGAAGTTTGAACTTGAAGTATCTTGAGTGGTTGTTTTTGTACACGTGGATGAACTTAGCTGTAAGCATAAGTTGACTTTTAATATTTAATTTAGGGGCCGTTCACTTATGACGTCCGACATTTAGGGGGGGAGGGGGGTCAAGAATTTTGTGACAGTTCAAACAATGGAAATTTTTTCTATAGAATTTTTGTGACAGAGGGGGAGAGGGGGGTCTAAAAATCAGGTTTTTTGATGGACGTCATAAGTGAACGACCCCTTATTTGTATTAATGAAATGGCACACTTAGGAAGAGACATTTTCAAAGACTAAAAGCTATAGCTCGGAGTGGACCCGAATTTACTCGACTTCATTTTTTCCGACTCAAGTCAAGTCGACTCGGAATTGATTTTGAAAAATGACTCAAAAAAATGCGACACAAAAAACGTGTAGTAACACATCGCCAGGCTTGAATCCTCTCACATTATTATTATTTTATCGAGTGCTGCAAAAAATTAAAGCACCCAACGGAGCTAAAAAAGAGAAAACTTCGCAACCTCAACTGTTAATTTATTTTCGATAAAATATTCAATAATTTGAAAACTTATTTACAAATTTATTTACATTAAAAAATCAACAAACCAAACTCTGAGGCTTTATTTCAATTTTAGTAATGAATGGCTTGGAAAGTTCCTCACAAAAAAGAGAATAAAACTGGGGAATAATGTTGAGCTTGAAATTTTATTTTAAAAAATACATAATAGCTCTATACAATTTTGAAATAATCATTAAAACTCAAAAGCACAAATTATCTGCTCAAATGAGCTTTTCTCTAGATGTACTTATGCTCATTAGAATACAACGTGATTAAAAATATGAAAAAAAATGCTCAAGAATTGCGGGAATATTTATTTTTTTTGCTATTATAAAAATGAACAAATTCATCATGCTTAATGCATATGCTTGAAAACAAAGGATATTAAGAGCATTTTAAAAAGTTCTAGTGCTTGAAATATTTCAATAAAAAAGAACTTCTGCATTTGTTGAAAGCTCTTTTTAAAGAACCTAAATATTTCGTAATGCTTGTTGAGAAAAGATGGGAAACTTAAGTTTACTAATGAAATTTCACCATCAGACTAGTTCATTCATTAATGATAGTTTTAGACTCCCTCACTGCTGTGCTAATATTTTCAATCAATCAGTTTTTATTCATGAATGCATCACAAATCAACAAAAACTTTGACATCCTTTATAAAAGATTTCGAAGAAAAATAAAAATTTTGCTCGAAGCTATAAAGCTTTATGAACTTTATCAAGAAAGCTTTACAGTGCAACCATAAAAGCAACACCTACGACAAAATTTCAAAACCCACAACGCACCACATTTCATGAATACATTCGAATCCTTTCATAAACAAATTGCTGCAATAAAGAAAACCTTCAAAAAATTAATTGCTGTAAGTTGAATCAAAAAGCTACATTTTGGACATAGAATCAAACAATTCTAGGAAATTTTTATGATCTTTCCAACCATAAAAGCAGACACAAATCAACCTGATGCCCAAATTGAATTTATTCATCGTCTCATGCTAGCAATTTTTGTTCATGAGCACCTCATTTTTATTATCACAGTGAAATATTATGATACAATTTATTAGCGACCCTCCCGGGATATACTTCCATTCTTATCAAATTATTACAGGTAATCTCTTCTCAAATGAGTGAGCATATTTTAATGTTTCATGGCAGTTTTTTGCTTCATGATTGAATAAGAAGACATTGAAAAGAGGAGAAAACTTGTTTGATAAGTTTGGACTAGGATCAGACGATTTGATTGATGATGTTACCCGAATGGCACAAGTGGGTTGATCAATAAGAAATCTGGTAAAAACCGATGTGAGTCAGGCATGGTGCTGGATTTAAACTAACCTCATCTTTTGTTACCGTAGAACAATGGGAATTCAATTAATTTAAAATCATAAGGAAAAATGGGATACAAAGTTTTGATTTGATGGAAATTGAGCATTCGTGTAATATAGAAGAAGTCTATGTAGGTTCAGATCAGGAAATAATTCATTTTCCTTCTTTAACTTCAAAATAAAAAGAAGAATTCGAAACTGTGAGCTATCCAATGGTTTGGGTAGTCACATAGGTTTTTTGATTTCCATAACCTTTAATTTGAAAACTTTTAAACTTCAAAACATGCCCATATATAGGCAAATTTGATCACAAATATCAATTTAAAAAGCTAAGAGATCTCTCGCGATTGCAACAATCCAATGCTAGCAAACAGAAATTTTTGAGTTCTTATTATTCGGACTCTGTTCTCTTTGCTGACATTGGGCCACAATATGGAAGAGATTTGTTAAAAATCTTAATATATTTGTGAGTTACGCAGTTTTGAATATTCCCCATCGATTCCTCTCTTTAACTTCAATACATGATTGATTATCTCGGTTCTGATCATTTTTCTCAATTTGGCTGTATTTACAGCTATGTATATTCTTGTTTTCTACTGGGACTTAAATGATAAGAGATTTTCTGAATAAGCTTTAATTTTATAACAAAAAACATTTTTCACAAGTTAAATGTCAGGCCTGATTTATTATGTTTTGTTTAAAGAATTGCTGGACATTTTGTCTGAAACAATTTGAAACTACCAAAAAAAAGTTTTTAAATCCACAGTAAATTTATAGCTGTTTATGATAACAATGAAATATTTGAAGAAGATCATCAAATGCTTCAGTTTAATTTATGTGCTTAGTTATCCAACCCATGCAGCCCGTTTTCAAACTAGAATGTTTAAGAATTTATTAACGGGTTGATCATAAATTAAGTCTGATTTTTAAAGAAGTGTAAGCTTCGGTAGGAAGCGTAATTTGATGGAGATTAGGCTCAGAGAGGTTGTTAAGGGTTAATTTTTAGATAATTGACATAATTTATCAGAAATCTAAATTTCATTTAAGTCTTTAAAAAGTAATTTGATAATAAAATGCATTCATCTTTGTTGAATTAAAAATTTCATCATGTTTTTAATCTTTCTCTCATCTCCAGGATTAAGAAGATTGAAAAACGAATAATTGAACAAACAGCTGCATTGCTGTAGCATGCAAAAATGATTTTCAAATGCACATTAAGAATTTGCTTTTAATAAAATTAAAGGAAAAACTTAAATCTGCTCCAATTCTTTTACAATCAATACTTTCCAGTGCCCAAACCTTAAAATCCAAAGGATTTATTTTTTTGCGGCATTCTTTACCTTCAAAACACGATTATGTCAAATTATTTTCACAGCTTTCGCGGTCTCTGATAAAAATTTGTTCACTACACTTTAAGTCAAATTTTTTTTTTCTCTTTGTTATTTATTCCTTTTTCTTCTTTGCATCCACAAAGTTATTAGATTTAAGCTTCTCTTTTTTCACTTATTTTAATATTATCAGCAACAAAACTTTCTTAAATAGAGTTACAGAAATTATATATTAGCGTTAAACTTTGCCTTGTTTTGTTGCAAACTTTTCTTTTATTTTCTTCGTCGTATGCCTGTTTGAGGGGGGTCGTTCATAAATGATGGTTGATGGACTTGTAGAAAATAAAAGATAAGAGTGAGGATCGATTGCAAACCTTGACACAACTCTTAAATTAGTATTTTTTAAGTCAACGACAGCTCCGATTTCTTGGATGACAACAAATCCAAAGAGAAGAACTTTAATAAGGAAGCTGTGGATTGATAAGGTGCTGAGTTTGATTTTGAAAATTGCAGAGCACGAAAATGTCTCGAGATTTTCATCGATTTTGTATGTCTCCGTACAAAATTTCATCGACTTCGAGCTCTAGAAAATTGGCAGGTTGTAACTGGTTAAACAACCAGGTAGACCATAGAAGACTTTGGACTAAAATCGACAACTAATACCTATTAATAAGTAACCATGATGCAGTGGGGTAAAAGGGCTATGGTAAAAAAGATTCTGATCTGAAACGGCTTGGCCCTTTCTATGATTTTTGGGAAAGAAGGGTGCGGAGTTGGTTCGTAATTAATAATTTTTATTTAAACCTAGAAAACTGACTTTTTTAATGCTTCGTTCCTGCCATGACACTCCGGGTTTAAATCTCATTTTTTCATCCTTATTATGTCATTTAAGGATTAAGTCCTGGTTCTTTCCCAGAAAAAAAAAAATTATTCCCAAAAATTCACTTCACAGAACCTCAAAAAATCCAATTTCCATACATCCATCACTTACAAACGACACCGACTTTTCCTCGCATGGAAATTTACTTTTTCTATGCTCGTCCAACTGTATAAGAACTTAGATGATAATTTTATCTTTTCTTCTGAATGACTCAAACTTTATTTTGGAACTTCACACAATTATCTTCACTGATGAGAAATCATTTACAGTTGTTGAGTCATTCAAGCAGCATAAAATTCACATCACTTTTTTTTTTATTTATTTTTTGGACACAAAAAATTCACGTGTGAGGAAGAAGAACATTTTTTGGCATGTTTTATTTCCGGCTATATTTTTTTTTTCAATTCAAGAACTATAAAGATGTTCAGCTTTAACGACTCTGATTATTAATACAAAGTTTCAAAACTTGTACCACAAGCTCTAATGGATGTTGTGAGATAATTTTGCGCGCCTCTTCAATAGATCCATTCAGCTCGAGTATCAAACGCAAACTACGAATGTCGCTCTGCCCGTCTGTAGATATAAAAAAAAATTATTTCTTTACAAAGAAAAAATGCGAAAGTAAAAATGATTTTTGTTGCGCCAGAATCACAGAAGAAAGAAAGTCGCGTGACATGTTTCGAATTCAATATCGTTCCTGGATGTTTTTCATTGGCATGCTGAATGTTTTCTTCATCTCAGTTTGTGTTCCTCAAATTAATAAATTACGTTAAATGACTGACTCGCGTATGATAATCAATCAATCTATTAGTTTAATTAATTATAGCATATTAATAAATCTGTACGGTCTATTAAGGAGGATGTGAGCATTATGTTGTCACATAAACAATTTGTTAACATTTATTAAGTGTTAAGAGATTTGTTGCTACTCTCTGACTCTCTAAGTCCAAAAATTCTAACATGCTTTTCTCCAGAGAATTGTGTCAACGAGACTTACATCATATCCAGTTTATTTTAATATAAACATTCACATTGTGTTATTGACAGCGATTGTCTTTTTTTGTTTTGTAAATTCAACAATAAAGCTTATTGTTGGATGGAAGTTTCTTGTTAAACAAACAAACATTTCTCTTGCGGAAATTCTTTCTCTTTTCATTCTTCTCATCGTTTACTGTTTTGTTGCTATGAAAATTTTGTTCTGTTCTGTTCTTAAATTCAGTCCATTGTCTTTGAATTGTTATTCTTGTTTCTTCGATGTTTTGAGTAAGTTATTGAGTAAGATGAGCTGGGTTTAGTTTGCACTTTTTCTAGAACTGAGTGATTTTGCCCAGATCTCGAAGTTAAATCGAGATTTCCATCGATTTTGTATGGCGCTGTATGACTGCATACAAAATTTCATCAACTTCTAGCTCTAATCTTGCCACAGCAACTTTATCTAGAATAACTTTAATGCGTGTATCGAGGAACAAGGGTTGAGCAGCACTGAAAGATATATTAGAGATTAGACTCTTCAAGGGAGTCAATAAGAAAAGAACAATGGAAATTCCTGGAAATCCATTGTTCTTTTTTGAAAAATGCCCGTTAATTTCGGACGTCATATGTGAACGATCCCTTTGCTTTCTTGCTGGAGCATTTGGTTGTAATTTTCCTAGATTACAGTGCAGTGGTGCTCAAAACTTAGGGTTTAATCCTCTTTTATTTCAGAAATGTTCTTAACTTGTTTGATAATCTCTTCTCGATCGGCACACATTGTAATTCCGGAAACTATAATTAAAACTGAGCGGTTGTCGCTTAGAAGCCATGTCTAAGTGGATGTCAAGTATTTGCCCAATGACTATAATTGACAAAACGGTTCTAGTTATCCTATCAAACCGCCTGCCATGTGGTATCCACTTAGAGATGGCTTCCAAGCGACAGCCGCTTTGTTCATTTATGGTTCTTAAATTAAAGCACTCAGATCATCTTCAGCAATACTGATAACCTGCTCTGTCAATTGAAAATTTTGCAGGCATCTTAGGCTGTATTCATCTTTTTGAAGCTAATTATATCATCTAAAAATAAATGATCTTAAAAATTTAATTAACACTTAATGACGACAACAATTATTGCAAGAAGTTAATTAACATTTATTAAGAATTTATTTCTTTTATCGCGTGGAGGTGAGGAAATTGAAAATAGAATCTTTTGGAGAAGACGCAGAAATTCTAAATGCTTGGCTGACAACGATTGAAAGCTTTTATGTTGATAATTTAAGAATACATAAAAGTTCTATTCAGATTTTAATGTAGAAGTCTTCGAATGAAAAATATGTTGCATATGAATTAATTTTTATAAAAGCCATTATCATAATTAAAGAAGAATAGAAGAAAATAACAATACAAATGAAAATAATAGAACGATGTGCATTTGTCAATGGAAGAATACATAAATTAACTGTGTCATTATTTTTATTTTGTATCATAGGGTTTTGTCCAGGTGCGTAGCCAGGAGGGTCTTCTCCCACCCTTAAACGTTTTGAACCGCATCGAGAGCACGGCCGAAAACGCTTAAAAGTGGGACAAGACCCTCCTTGCTACACGCCTGGTTGTGTATGATCAAAATTATAGTTTAAATTTTACATACAAAAAAAAAATTAAAACTATTCGTATTGCGATCCGGAGCACGGAGATTCACGGATAATAAGCGTTAATTAAGTGGGGATGCACCAGACCACTTAACATAGACCTAGACATTCAGTTTGAAGCGAGGTTCGAACCACTCCTTGATGACATTCCTGCCTGTAGCCGAACATTCAATTAAAATAAATTTAATTAATAAATTGCAGGCTTTAATTTTTCATCAAATCTTAATCCTCTTATGGGACGTTCACTTATGACGTCCAAGGAATTTCTACATATTGTTCTTGCTGACCCCCCAGATCGTCACAAATGAACGGCCCCTTATTCAAGTGCGACTGTTTAAATAAAATCTCTCATGAAAATGAATGACAATTAAAACCTTAATCAGCATAAAATGTTCATTACGAATTCTACTTTGTTGCAGATTTTTAAAAAAAAACTTTTTGCATAACTTTGTAAAAAAATATAAATGCACAAAACATCATTAAATTAATTACACAATCATAATTCCAGTTTACATTAAACATTCAACAAGTAAAATCCTTTCGGCAACACTTAAAAATAGCTTGCAGTAGCAGTTATAGCTTTTAACGATACACGATTATCATTTTATAGTTGCCATTTTCAATTCGCATGTGCTTACATTTGAATTATACATCAGATATCATTTACGCACTCTGTATTCTGTGTTTGGAACACGCATAAATTATACCTTATATATATACTGGATGTATGTTGACACAATCTACACTACTAATTTAATTATATCAATGAGATCTGTGTTGTTGTTGTTGTCAATTAACCTGTAAACTCAATAAATTATGCATGCAGTTGGTAATTTCATTTCTTTATGATAAACTGTACGGATTTAAATTTACAATTCAGCCTTCCTTTTTTATTCATCTGTAATTCAGTTTAATACTTGGAAGTAGGAAAAGTTGTGGAGGTTGTGAATGCTTTGAGAGCTTACTTGTCGTATGTAGAGTAAGAAAAAGTAGAATTTTGGTAAAGTAGCCTTAGAAACATGATGACGAAGCTGCAGCTTGTTAAGCATGACTTCAAAAAATATTTCACAGGTCAGTGAAAATTAAATTAAAAAGTTTTTATTCTAAAAATGGAAAACAAGTCGTTCACTAATGACGTCTATCATAAAATGGGACCCCTACATCCCTTGTTAATACCCTGTTGTCCCTCCTGCCCTTAACTGAGTGATGCCCAACCCATGTGCCGTGAAAAAAATAAGTAAATCCCACCAACCGTATGCGTGTGCAGTTTCGTTCATGGCTCATCATCAAGCTGCATCGTGGCACATGAAAGGTTGGCCATCTCTTTTCTAAATGATTAACGTCATGAGTGAGTTCCGGCAATATCACAAAATATTTTTTTTTGTTACACAATGGGCCGTTCACATATTACGTAATGCTTTTAGAGGCTAAGATTATGTTACGGTTTAAACAAAAAAAATTTTTTTTCATACAAACTTTGTTCCAAGCAGGTTATAAGGGAGAAGGTGAGGGGGTCTCAAAAGTAATTTTTTGCGTTACGTAATAAGCGAACGGCCCCTTCAAAACATTTTAATTAAAATTTTTCACTTAACTCGAGGACGTCGTTAACATGAACATTCTACACAGAAACAAAAATTAACTTTGAAGAAGCACTAGAGTTTCGTAAATAAGTTCTTCTTGTATCCACTTCATTGAAAATAAATTTTATGATTAAAAGCTGTTATGGAGTAATTTAAATAAATTTTATGAGGAAAGTTGGAAACAAGGGGGTCAGTTGTTAAAAATAAATGGACTTAAATAGGTACATTAAGTAGATACCCAGTAGACACGGTAGCCTCTATATGAGCTAGATATGGACTATTACCGCTCGATAAGTCGCATTTTCAATTTAAATAGTATAAGCACCAACATTTCTTACAATAAGCCAATCCCCTTTAATATTCGAATTTTTTTAATGAGTAAAATAGTTTTTTTCCATCATAACAATTTAACCTTGAACTTGTGAATTATAATAGCCTCAATTTAACAACAGATGTTGATTTTTTTAACCATACCTGCAATTCAAGTCTACCTTTTTGGTTACCAGACAAACAAACGAGAAGCTTTTTTCCACCTTTTCCTGAAGAAAGACGAGATAAAAATAAATAATTTGATTATTTTCCTGCATACATGATACGACATGTTCATAAATCTTGTCTAATGATAGAAATAAAATTCAATTTCATCCATTTCTCATTCAATTATTCGAGTTTCATTTTTTTTTCTTGCTTAACGTTCTTAAATTGTATGATAACGAGAAACTTTTTATATGTTGCACCATTTAAGTCGTTTCTTAGCTTAAGTTGGGGGTCGTTTAGACATGACGTCTGGGTTTTGGGTGTTGGGAGGAGGTCGGAGGGACGATCATTGAAGATGTGTAACACATCTGATCTATTCCTTTGCTAAAGGCGGGGGGGGGGGGGGGGGGGGTGGTTGTTCTCAAACGAATCTATCTTAAAAGGACGACTTAGAGCATTGGTTTTTAAACTTTTGGATCAGTGCATAGTTAGTTTACAGTTAGTGGTCCTGAATTTGGGTCTATGTAGGTTTAAGAAGCGGCAAAGATCCTTTATCATAGTTTGAGCTTAGTTTAACCATAGTTTGAGAAAAGCTGCTTAAGATCATAAAATCTAATATTCAAATAAATGTCAGGGGTGAAGGAAGTGCTGAAAACTGGTTGTCCACCTCAACCCTCCTCCTGATCCAACTTGAACATCATTTACGAACGACCCCACATATATTATTGGTACTGATTATAACGTTTTAGTAATTTTGCAATATATACTTTATAATTTTTTTGTTGGCCAAAGGCTAGACGACTAGCAATTACCATTATTTTATTTCACATGAAGCATGTATATCAAGTTAATATTGGGTATTTAAATAAATAAACTCGTATGTATGGACACAAGCTCGTATGATAAGCGTATAATTTTCGATGTTCCATTTAATCGCTCGATAGTTTAAATAAGCCTTCAATATGCCTTGTCCACAACTCGATGTGAGGTGATTTAGGTGATTTTATTTAATATGAAAGAAATATTGAAATTATCACATAATAATATAAAAATTATTCTTGTCCGGCTAATTATCTCATTAAATTTATTGCTTTATTCAATTAATAAGATGAGAATTATAATTGGATAATCATGCTCAATTTTACCACCTTTATAATGATGTCTTCGATAGAAGTTTCTTATTTTTTCTTCTACTGAATGAATTCTAATCTTCTTATGGAAGAGTTTTGCTTCTTTTTTAAACTTTCCGGTATGCTTCACGCTGATAATCATCTTATTTTCTAATAATAATAATAATTTTTTTGCTGAGGGGTTTTTGTACAAATAATGTCACACGAGTGGTAGTTCATCTCGATATTTACAAACTAGGAGCATTGCAATCTGTGCATGCTAGTGAGCCATAAATTTGAAGAAAAAAACAGCAAAATTTTTATCAAAATAGCAAAATTTCAAATTATTTATTGACCGTTGAATAATAAAGCTTTTCTATATAAGCATTCATTGTAAATGTTTTGTTAATTACACTAAAATTAATGATCTTTTAATCTTCTGTAAATGAACGCAAAGAAATTACATAATCAAATACTGATCGCTAACACAAAAATGCGCTTAAGTCCCTCGATCAATAACACGATGACTTCTGTAATTTTTTGAATAGCATTCATCAGTAGAGGTCGATAACTTAAGACGTCCTATATTTGAGAGTCTAGAATTTTGTGCCAGCTCAAAAAAAGAATTTTGTTTTTCATACAAATTTTGTGATATAAAGGGGGGGAGGGGGAGGTGGAATTGGACCAATTATGGACACTATTATGTGCAGTCAGAATTGACAGCTAGAGGAACAGATTTTTAAAATTTAAAGACGACAATGTAGATTTGTACCTCGAAAAAATATTATGGTTTTGCCTTTGTAGCGGTATAGCTTGGAAAGTTAATTTGATTAGAATGAAAACTTACTTCCCCAAATGGATCTAAAATTTGTGTTAAGACAGGGTTGTATCCACTTGGTCTACCGTAATTTAATTCACTGAAAGTTATGAAACGACCGTGTAACCACGAATTGTCTTGAAAACCACTCATACACGTGTTGAATTGAATAAATATGATGTTTTTATAATATAAACCACTTGTTTAAGTTCTTTTATGCTTCAAATTTGTCCAGTTATGCACCAGAACTATGAATGTTACTTTTATTTTGTAAACTTTATGCAAATTTACTAAATGTGTTCTAAATCTAATAAAAATTATATTTTGGCCTCAATTATGCATCAAAAACACCAAAATTCAAGAAATATGCAATTATTTTGCTTTGTGCAAGCTTCAGAATTGCTAATAAATGTATATATAATCTTTATATGCTTTATTGTTGCATAAATTTAATTAATTTCAAAATATTGCAAAAAATGCGTTTTGTTGATCTCTGTATGCATTGGTGACTCCCTCTCCTCTCTATCGCTATAAGAAAAGATGAAGACTTATAAGAAAAGATACAACATAATTAAGGGGGGGGGGGGGAAACGGGGTCTAAAAAGTTGTTTTTTTTTGAAGGACGAAATTAATGAATGTTCCCCTTTTGACTTACAAGATTTAAATGCTAAGCAGAACGTTTATAAAATGTTAAATTTTTGAATTTTTTAACATTACTCCTAATTTAAGAGACATCACATTTGAATGAATCCCAAAGCAACTCGAATTCACCACATTATCATGCTGCTATGTCCATATAATCTTGTTTTTCTTATCCTCAATTCGAGGAAAAAATTCGATGCTTTAAGCTTTTCATTCTTAAACAATAGCAACAGAATGTTTTAAATTGTTTCTACAATATCTTTAATTTACCTTTGAAACATCGTTTTGCATGGTTATAAAAAGTTTGGGAATTGAGAATGGATCCAGTTTTTTTTAAATTGGTGATCTTAGTAAAAATGTATCAAAAAATCAGGCATGCTTAAGTTGTACTTATTAAAAGGTATTTTTTAAATGTTTTTGAATTTTAGCTGCGTCATTGTTCAAACAGGTACCTACTTCCGAACGCATGGCTAAGAGCGAATTAGAAGACAAACAAACAGGGTGCAACCAGGGATCCTGAACATTTTTTTTTACCAAAAAAGGAATTCCTACTAAATAGTTTTCTGGATACGCTTTGATCATTTTCAATAATTGGTAGCTCATAAATAGTTCCTTCCTTCTCCGACCTCTTCATTCTCCCCTGGTTACTTTGCTTACTTTAGAATCCATTTAATATGATTAAGCTTGAATCTACGCACATGAACAATTTCAAATATTTATTCGGTATTTTCGTACATCTCATAACTCTCATTTGCTTTCAACGGAAATTTCATTTTTTAAAGTACACAAATTTTAATGTCAAACAAATCAACTAGAAGCATTCAAGAGTTAATCAATTAAATTTTAAAAAATCTAAAATATTCTAGAAAATCATGAGATTAAATCAAATTATCAAAATTAAGTTTATTTTTCAAAATCATAACTTATAAAAAAAGATCTTAAAATTTCGAGTGTGCTGAAAAAATGTTTTCAATTTTCTCAGTAATTTAAATTAACTTTTCAATTTAATTGGAAAATCCATTTGGTAAACAATTTTTCGAACATTTGCACTTTATTTTTCTTTGATGTGCTTAATTACTACTTAAAGGAATTTAAAAACATTTAAATGAATTTTTAATGAAATTCGTAACATGTCACGTTTTTTTAAGAAGCTTACATTCATCGCGAACTCCATCAACATTCCCAATTAATTGAAAATATATTTGTCATGTGGAAAATATATTATCATTTTGTGTTCATTTGTCCAATCTTTTCCGTGGTTTACGCATCGTTAGGAGTGCTCTGTTGTCCTCAATTGAATTGTAAGCAGTTAATTATGCTCTAAATAATAATCAATGATTCGTATTTTAATTCTAGATTCACCCATTTATGCTTTATCTCATTTTATTCACACCGTCTGTAACTTTTGTAAAGTCTAATATTTTATTATTAAGGCAAGTTCCAAATTTTAATCTCGAATAGATAAATATAGATGCAATGAGAAATTATTTAAGGAGGTTGAATTCATTTCCCATCAATATTACTTTGGAACTTCAAAATCATGCAGAAACTTTTGAGCATTAAAATCATCCGTGGTACTGAATTTAAATCATTTTTCAATGTGATTCAAAACAAATAATCCCTTGGATCACGTTGTAGTTACATAGAAGTTCTGTATAACGACATTTTAACCATCGAGAATAAATTTTAAATCGAAAATAAGTGAATTACATGTGCTTTTAATCAGATTTATCTTTAGATTGGAAAATGGTCAAGTATTTATTTTAAAATTCTCTGCAGATGAACTTGAGCTTTTGCATAACAAACTTGTACAAATGAAGTTGTTGTGGTAAAGGATTATAGACATATTAAAGGTTTTTAGGGACAGGGGGAGGTGTTGGTGAGGGGGATTTTTAAGAAAAGTCCCGATTCGTCTTCCCTTCCTCATAATTGAAGTGTCAATTGAGACTTGATTTTTAAAATCTGTAAATTAGATTTTGCTCAACCCGATCCTTTCAAGAATTCTACTTTACACCACTCTTAAATCTTTGTTTGATATTATTAGTCAACAACTTAGTGGCATAACTAGGGAACTAGATTGGAATCTGCAGAATCGAGCTATGTAATGTAGACGAATCTTCCAAAGCGAAGTTAAGATAGTTTGAAAACGGACCGGAAAATCTGAAAATCATAGTTTTGTGAGGACGTGAGTTCAACTCCTTCTAAACGTATATAAGATACGATTGATAGACATTACACGAACTGAATCTAATATTACGGCATGAATATAGTGAGGCACTCTAAATAATCTTTCCACTCTGTAGTTTGATACAAAAATTGATTAAATCTGCCTTTCGCTGTGTTGGATTGTTCCGATTATGCGAAATAATCTGCCCATATTTTTTAATATCCATTCTCTATATCAAATTGTTTGATTCTCTCTGTCTCTCATCATCACGGTCGTAATTATTAAACACTACAAAATAAAAAAGCATTGAATATAAAAAAAAAATTGAAATTGAGAGTATTACGACTATAATCACATTTATTACCATCAGTATATTTATTTCGGAAATTTAAAAACCATTCTGGAGTGGATTTTAAACCACAGATGTTATTCTGTTGCCATCGCAATCGGTTGAGTGAGAAATTTTGATTGAGTGTAAATTTTATTTTTTTTGTTGTTATTGAACTTGAATGATGGATGTACGCCACATACTCGTATATGCCGTTGGGTAATGCCACAATGATTCAGATTTGAAAAAAATGTTCAAATAATCCTTGTGCATAATATTTTTCAGACACATTGAAGTAATGAAATTTTTTATTGATATTCTCTAGTTTAGGACTTTTAATGCCTTTAATCTTACTTGATTATTGATTCCTCAAAATATTAAGTCATGAAATTGAGGATAAATAAGTTTTTTTTTACAAATTTCACAAATGTTTATCAAAAAATTTGGCGCACGATAGTAATTTGTATGAAAAATTAACTAATTTTCAATCGCAAATATCTCGCTTCGGGCATATTTGGGCATGTACACATTAATATGGAAGGTTAATTAGACTTTGTTCTTTATATTTAAATAGGTTTGGTAGAAGCGGAAAGACGCGAATTTAACTTATGAGTGTTTAAAGTCTTGGTAAATTTCAAAAAAATTAATCATGTATATTCGCCCAATTAATAGGTTTTCTTTTGGTTTCTTCACACAAACACAAAGTACTAAGCTTAATTAAGCTGGTTATCAGGATTAAAACAAGAAATTTGAAGTGGAAAGGAGAAAAAATTTAAGAAAAATATTTGTTGTCATTTTGTAAACAAATTTATTGGCATCTTAAAATCGAATTTTTGTGAATTAGACAACAAATTGGAATGTGATATTTTTACAGAACATAAAACACATCATGTTCTTTAATCTGGCATTTAAAACATATAGTTTAATTAACTTGTTATTTTTGAATTTTTGAACATTTTTTTCAAATCTGAATCATTGTGTAATGTGCTTTATTTTTATATATTTTTTTTAGCGTGAATCTAGAAAATATTCATTCAGAAAAAAAAGTATAAAGGAACAACAAAAAATAAATTCATTTTTATTTCGTAGAATTTTCCATAATTTACAATTTTTGCACGGTGCCACGGTTGATTTGAGATGTAGCAATTTTGATGTGACTCGATTGAGTGAGATTTCGTATCAATGTGGAAAGGAATTGACGTGCTTTTTTGAAAACATTCATTCGGATAATGAGACGCAGTTTGTGTATTCTGCAGACCGATATGTACATTCTTACAAGTGCCTTGGATTTGTTAATTCATCCATCGATCAACTACCGATTGACATATTCAAACGATATCCAAATATAGAGATTTTATATGCTGCAAACTTGGGTTTAAAGTCTGTGAGCCGGTCGTTATTTGAGACAGCTGGGAAGCTTGTTGATTTACATTTAGAAGGAAATAACATAACAGGTATAAATGATGCTGTTTTTAGTGCATTTTATGTGATGGAGATAATCTGTTCTTATTGAGATAGAACTTAGTTTGATTTTACATTCATTGAAAGGATAATTGAGCTTGTGTTTGCTAAATAAGTGATTATTAATTTGAAATTTGATGAGAATCGAACCTGTGATTAAAGAGTAAATTTATGATAGGAATATATTGTTATTAGGGTTTTAACTAGGGTTGGGCAGAATCGTATTCGAATATATTCGAATATAATGTGCGCACATAAATGTGCGCATATATTCGAATATATATTCGAATGTACATAATTCAAAAATAACCGTTATTAATCGTGATTTTTTTTTTAATAAATGTTTAACAATTAATTAAATAACTTACAACTACAATATCGACGTATTCGGCTAAAGAAAGTAATCCCATTGCTTTTCCATTAAAATTAGATCTATTTTAGTAATTGTTTAACATGATTTGTTCCAATGAATTTCCATATAGAAAAAGTTTATCGTTTAACGGTTTTTTGAGATTCAAATTTTCTAATAGTCAGTAAGTTTTTGAAATTTTTCGTCAAAGGATACACAAAAAATCATTAATTATAGCATATTTAACAATTTAATATCTTTAATTCTCATGTATAAATTGTTTATCATTTACAAATTACAGGCAGTTGTAAAATGCTAATTAACAAATAACGTATTTTTTCATTTTTGAATTTCTAATATTCGAATATATATTCGAATATATTCGAATATTTTTTTGTTCATATTCAAAAAAATATTCGAATATATTCGAATATATTCGAATATTTGCCCAACCCTATGAATTTCTAGCTACACTCCTGGGTTAGAAGCTTAATAAAAAATCAAAGTCTAAGAAACAATTTTAATGATAATATTGTGATTAAGGAAATGGAAGGAAGTCTGAAAACCAAAGATTTTGATGAACGTCATTTGTGAACAAACCCTAGCTTTCCCGAAAGGCACACAGCGTAAAATCTTGCCTTCAATCTGGCATCCTAAACGCGGTACCACGCACCAAATCCTTGATGCCAGATAGAAAGCTATTTTTACGCCGTGTGCCTTTTGGGTATTTATCATAAAATAAGATCCTAATGCTTAATACTTACCCAAATGGCACAAGTCGGTTAATCGATCAGAAATCCGGCATCAGCTGGTATGACTTTGGTATGATGCTGGATTTAAATCGAAGCCAGTATCATGCGAGGGTCATGCCAGCTTTAAGCCGGATTTCTATTCGATTAACCAACTTGTGCTATTCAGGTTAGTTCGATACTGCCTTGATTACCAGTTTCTTTGGCAGAGCTTTCTTCCAGATTCAAACCATTTAGCAATAAATGCGCTAAAATCTCCACAAACAAAAAAATCAATAATTTTATCACTATATTATCTATTTTATGTATAACATCTTTTTTCCCAATTTCCTCATGAAAACATCTACATGCTACATGCAATGAATACAAATCATACATGCTTCCACATCACTCCACGACCAAAAATATACATCGATGTATGTAGATTTGGAAAACTTTTTATTCTATGGTGCGTTAAATTTACGTCGCGTCATGCTGTCTCATAATGAAATCACATCGATTGGAAAGGATGCATTTAAGAAAATGACAATAAAGCCAGTAACGGTTTATGACAACACATTTCAGCAGAAACTTGAAGAGATTGATTTATCGCATAATAAACTGACAAATCTTCATCATGAGACATTTTCCCAGCTGAATTCATTGATAATCTTGAATCTTAAGCATAATAATATCCGCTTAAAGTATGGACAATTTCCTTTAACACTTAAACGACTTGATTTGAGCTACAATCAATTGAAGGATTTTACATTGAGACAACTTTTAGGTTCGCAGCTATTAGAGGAATTGAAGCTGAACGGAAACTTTTTCGATAATGCAAAAATTGAGTTTTTATTCCCGGAAGCAATATTTCAACTGATGCATGTCTATCGTTTCGAGATGTCAGACACGTTTAATTGCATGCAGTTGGCTGATGTGTTGCTCTATTTTAAAAAAATAAACCGTAATATAATCGTGCAATTTGAAAATGAAGTGACGAACTCGTCAAATATTTTTGGAATTTCATGCGTTGACGCAAGTGACACGAGCTAGGAATTATGATGATAATTGACGTCATGCATCGATGAGAATGAAATCGAATGTGGTCAAAAAAATGTAATTTGAGTTGTTTTTATTAAAGAAATGAAGAACTTGTAATTTATTCACATTTTCATGAATTTTGATTTGTGAATGTTGGAAGTATTTTGAAATTAAATCTAATAAATATGAAGATAATTTTTAAATATTAACTTTAGACATCTAGACTTTATTATTTCAAATAATAATTTTTTGAAATTAATTTTTAAAAATGTTAGAACTTTTTTAATTCAAAAAAATCAAATTTTATAAATGTGAAAAAATTAAATTTTTGAAATGTAAAAAATTTAAATTTTTGAAATGTAAAAAATTTAAATTTATTCTTTTTTGAAGTTGAAAAAATTCAAATTCTTTTAATTCGAAGAAATTCAAAATTTTGAAATTTAAAAAAACTCACATTTTTGAAATTTGAAAAAAATTCGTTGAATTTTGAAAAAAATATTATTTTTTTTGAATTTTCAAATGTAAAAGATTACAATTTTTGAAATGTAAAAAATTTAAATTTATTCTTTTTTGAAGTTGAAAAAATTCAAATTCTTTTAATTCGAAAAAATTCAAAATTTTGAAATTTAAAAAAACTCACATTTTTGAAATTTGAAAAAAATTCGTTGAATTTTGAAAAAAATATTAATTTTTTTAAAATTTTAAAAAAAATTATTGTTGAACATTTTTAAAATTTTTGAAGATTTTTTTTTTCAAAATTTCAATTTGAGAAAACTTAAATCAAATATGCTCTCATCTTCCATACCAAAACTTGAAATTACTGTAACAATGAACTTGCATGCCAGTTGCAAGATGCTGCAGATTCAAGAATGATACTAGTTTGTTGATTTTCAGGAAGTATTGTTGTGGCTTGTTGTGAAAATTGAATTTTCATTGTTAACTTTACATGCTGCAGGAAGTGGTTTTAACAACAAATTTAATTGAAATTTGTTTAATGCGATTTGTTGCACTTATCAAGGCTAGCAGCATATCAAGACGATGAGTAGGAACACGAAAAAACACGTTTTATAGAACCTAGACATTCCATTGAGTTAAGGAATCAACTCTTTTCTTGAGTCTATTCAAACTAGTTAAATTTCATAATAAAAAGTTATTCAAAAACGTAATTCCTTCCACGTCAAAAGCACAAGCTGGAAAGTCAAAAGTCACATTATATCCGAAACTTTACGATACATGTTAATTAAAATTCTTTAAAACAAGCGAATTTCATGTAACGCTATGCAGCATAAAATACAAGATTGTCATAGCGTGACAAAAGTGTAAAACTTTAATTATTCCCGAGCAACAAAGTGTCAGACTTAATTATAATTTGTGCACTTAAACTTTAACTATATTAAAAGAAGAAAAAAAAATACCAACTTTCGTTTCCTTTCTCTCTGCGACTCATACCTGCACATATCAGTCATCGTCATCATCATAATCTCGCAAAGAGACTTGACTTGCTGCTGCTGCTGCACTCTTGCTCTTATTCAAATAGATATGATAATCATTAAGTTTAATTCAGCACGAGTCAAGTGAGTCGTTCTTTAACATACGCATATTGAATAAATTTGCATAATAAATTTTACAAGCATGACTTTAATTGAATGAAATTATGTCTTGTTATCTCATTGTAAAAAGAGCTTTTGAAATTGTTAATGTGCATGCTTACAATATGGTCGAATTGTGGGTTTTAAAATTTTTCAGGTTTGGTCAATTAAAGTTTATTGGTGATTTCGGAAGTTGCGAACAAGTTTTGTAATTGTTTTTTAAATTGCGGTGAGCAGTGGTGAGTTGTTGACATTTGAGGTCGTAGCTTCCAGCTTTTTGTAGCTTTATGGATAGCTTATAGACAAGTTGATTGATCTAAAGCGGTAAGCTTCTTATTCTTTAAGCATAACATAAACTTTTAACAGATATTTTGCAATTTGTTCTTAGCAGGCGCGTAGCAAGGAGGGTCTTTTCACCCCCCCCCCCCTCCCCCTTTAAACGTTTTGAACTGCGGCGAGAGCACCGCCTAAAACGCTTAAGAGGGGGACAAGACCCTCCTGGCTACGCGTCTGGTTCTTAGAATGAAGCTTTAGATCATGTAGGTGTGTGTTTTAGCTTTCCTAATATTTCCTTCTGTGGTATATCCATAAATATATTTTTATTACAAAATTTCCGCAACCAAAACAGACGCAAACCATATTTTCAAGATTATCTTAGAAACATCCACTTCCGAAAATTAAAATTAATTAGACATTCAGTCAGGGATAAATGATATATTTAGATTTAACTTCCAAGAATTAAGGGTCCGTTTCAGCATATAAAATGGAAATAATGCTAATTTATCATTTATAAATAGCCTTTAAGAGCCGATCCTATACAAATAAAAACCATTTCTTCTAATAATTAAAGATTCTTTCCACGTGCTGTGGTGGCAAAGCAGATTGGAATCTAGGGGATCGAGCCATATGTACGCAAAACTGCCAGTGTGATAGTAAGTCTTCTGTGGCGTGAGTGGTAAGACTACAGAATGAAAAACTGTAACCCTGTTTTGTAAGGACGTGGGTTCGATTCGCACTAGAGACCAATCTCTGGATTTGTTCAATGCTCATGATATAACACGTGCCTAAAGATTTTGATGTACTTGACGAAGGACTGAAGAATGACGAGACATGAAATGATAAAATCAACACAGAAAAATTATTCTTCCGTCTTAAATCAAACCACCATAAAATGCTTTTCTGTTGAAAGCTCAGTGAGCAATGTTAAAGAATATTTCCTCAAAACTTACTCTTCCACGTCCGTGATTTATCGTGTCCGATTCGCAAGAGAGACTGTTGCAGAATTGAGATAAATCTCATTGTTTATGTGCTGAGAAAATGTTGTACGACATAAGTTTCAAATTCTAATTTGTTCTGCTCGTGTTGCTGCTTTCATCACTTACCTACCACAATACAGCAGCAATGGACATTCTTAAGAGACATGCGAGCAATTACTTAAGATTCTTTTTTTATATATTTTAAATGAGATTATTATGATCAACTGGATTCCAACTGTGTTTGTTGTGCGAATATATGCAGCACACGAGTACGGAGAGAAATCATGCTGACATTTAATTAAATTTATCTTCATGACATGATGATGAATGAGTGATAAAATTAGTGGGGAAATTAAAAAAATGACCAAATTTAATTAATTTTTTATATATTTTTTACAGACATCATCGATGACTATGCAAACTTTATTGAGTTAATAAATTTTAAATTCCGCACGTCAATTAGTGCGTATCCAGAGTATAATTGAATTATTTGATAGTTCATTAAAGCACATTGTCCAGTGGATATTTTTTAAAGCCACCATAAATGGCCATAAGGAAGTAACCGTGTTGTGCTGGTTGTTCATTCTATTTGAATAATAATGCTGATGATATCTAAAACATATGTATGCTGCAAAAAAATAAAAAAATTTCAATAAACTTTTTTTTTCATACAAATGGCATGCATTCAACCTGTTGAAAGAGAGATCACTTTATGTCGATTGCATGTTTTACAATAGCAATGTTGGAAGAGAGAAAAAATGTGCATAGAAAAAAAATCTTTCCATTCTTTCTTCTTTTTGTTTTGTTCGCTTAGAGATAGTTCTACATATAGTGTTTGGCTGTTAGTATTCTTTTCTCTATCTATTACGTGAATATGATGCTGTTGGAGACTCACGACACTGAAAAGCACAACAAATGGATTTCTAATGTTTGAATATATAATTGGATAAGTTATAAAATCAAGTTGATGAGTATGAGGTATGGGATGCATGTAAATGAGTTAGATCGAGTGCGGAGGGGGGGGGGGGGGGGGGTTCTTGTATAATTTTTTTACGAATTAAGTTGTTTGTAAGCTCCTTTCGTCACTTGAAGTCCTTCATTAATGACAACTAAAGAGCCAATCACTAAAATAAATCCAGAGAAGTAGCCGAAAAGGGGGGGGGGGGGGGGGGCTTCCATGTTTAAAATTTCTCTTAGTGTTCAATAATCAGACCTAGAAGACGAGATTTGGTGTCTGTTCTAGGCACTTGCCCAAAAACCGTGTCATTTACCCGTCTCAGAGTAAGATATATGTCCTAGGACGGGAAGGGGGGGGGGGGGGCTACCATCGCACCAATATTTCTGTCTTTACACATACTGAACTTTATTAAAATGTGGTAGGTAAACAAAGCACCACATTATGCATGTCAATCATTTGCAACCACATGAGATACTTAAATTTGTAAACATGTCAATCCATGAACTGTCAGAAAGTGCTAACCTACAATATGGCTAGCTACTATCGACAACAATTTCCCAATATTCACAAAATGCAACTCCTTGATATTAAACGAAATAAAATGCTAACTCTATAACTGCATGTATCAACAAGTTCGACGATAACAACTAGCGCTAAAAATTACCACTTTGTTATCCTATCGCAAATATGAGATCGAAAGCATATAAATTATGCAAATGTCATCGATTTCAATCTCGTGCATAAATCTTGAAATTATTCATTTGAACTTCTGTGTTTAATGATATTACCATTTTCACGTTGTGTGCTGTATTATTATTATTTATTTTACTACTTTATTACATGAATTGACTGTGGTGAGGCGGATTGCAGTCAATTAGGTAATTGCCATTTGATGACTAACCGAGATAAGCACAAAAATCTTTTTTTGTTTGTTCACAATTTACGAGATTTATATAAATGCACAGTCACAGGTTTTTGAGGTCAATGCTATTCTAGTTCATAATAATTCTGCAATGTTCTAGCCATACGTCGATATAGCCTCAGTTCTTCTTACTCTAATGCTTTACTTTTATGTAACGTGCACAAGATTTTCTCATTTTTTTTCGTGCTTGCAATATGCAAATGTGAGCTAACGGTTCTGATGTATGAGCATGCAATTTCCTTTATTAAATTCTTATTTATTTACTTTTTATGAAAACAAGTTTAAAAAACTGTATTTTATTTTTGGAAAACTAAAGCGCATTTTTTTTGTTTACAGACAATACAGCAATTCAGCAATACAGTAACTCAGCAATCCAGCACATC